TATTCAGGTGGGGCATCAAGACATTCAGGTGGGACATCAAAGTATTCAGGTGGGACTCCATCAAGGTATTCAGGTGGGACTCCATCAAGGTATTCAGGTGGGTCATCAAGACATTCAGGTGGGACATCAAGACATTCAGGTGGGACATCAAGACATTCAGGTGGGACTCCATCAAGGTATTCAGGTGGGTCATCAAGACATTCAGGTGGGACATCAAAATATTCAGGTGGGACATCAAGGTATTCAGGTGGGACATCAAAGTATTCAGGTGGGACATCAAGACATTCAGGTGGGACATCAAGACATTCAGGTGGGACATCAAGACATTCAGGTGGGACATCAAGACATTCAGGTGGGACTCCATCAAGGTATTCAGGTGGGTCATCAAGACATTCAGGTGGGACATCAAAATATTCAGGTGGGACATCAAGGTATTCAGGTAGGACATCAAAGTATTCAGGTGGGACATCAAAATATTCAGGTGGGGCATCTAGGCATTCAGATGGGATATCCAGACATTCAGGTGGGACATATAGGCATTCAAGTGGGACATCAAAATATTCAGATGGGTCATCAAGACATTCAGGTGGGACATCAAAATATTCAGGTGGGACATCAAAATATTCAGGTGGGACATCAAGGTATTCAGGTGGGTCATCAAGACATTCAGGTGGGACATCAAAATATTCAGGTGGGACATCAAGGTATTCAGATGGGACATCAAGGTATTCAGGTGGGACATCCAGGTATTCAGATGAGGCATCAAGACATTCAGGTGGAACATCACAATATTCAGGTGGGACTCCATCCAATTTATTCAGGTGGGACATCAAGGTATTAAGGTGGGTCATCAAGACATTCAGGTGGGACATCAAGAAATTCAGGTGGGACATCCAGACATACCGGTGGATAGGGCATCTAATCATTCAGGTGGGAACGTCAGAGAAATTATCTCAAAAAATGTTGAACCCTGTAATATTTGCGAGGCATGACCTTGATTGAGCCAGCTGTAAATATAGTTGAATAAATCAAAAGCCACATTCTGATTTATCAGAGGGCGACAAATGTACCTTCACACTTCTAGATATGTTCTAGCCATCTTAATTGTGAAACCAATAATTTCAAATTTGTTTTGTAGGAGGCAGCTTCAGGTGGCAGACACTCTCCCGGAGATCAAAGAAAGCTTGTTGGGGATAGTAAGTATGCTTTGAACTGAAAATGTATAATTCAAGATTTTTTTTGCCAAAATGTTTCATATGCACATTTTGCACATATTTTTCCATTGCCTGTATGTATTGATCAATATGTTGTTGGTATGGCAACAATTATGCAGGTTTATTTTGTGATGGACACGAAGTATACCTTAGCATTGTAATCTAGAGCAAACAGACTAAGACTGCATTTACTTGTTAAAAGTGCATATCCATCAGACGTGTTCTACTTTGTTGAAATTTGCCTTTGTTGTACACTGGATCATAAAAATATCACCTATTTCGATCCTAGTTATTAAAGTTGATGTGAAACGCCGGCTACCCCAATGTCCAAATCACTTATTGGTATGTGAATATTATCATACATGTAGTATATTTCTGAGCACAAAATGAATATTTTAATCAAAGTTGCTGTCTAGTACCAGTTATTCATTGTATTTCACAAAGAGGCTCATTAGTCCGAATTTGCAAGTATACCCCTGGTGGCGGCGCCAGTGGACTTGCTGCCCAACATAGACATGTAAATCAGATTGTGATACGCTTTTACAGAATACTCCAGGTTGCAGATTATAGTCTATTTACTTTTCAATAATTTAAAATCAACTTGCACCAATTTTCTTTCACAAATTTGGATGGCAGATATTACGCTGTATTATTCATTTACGAGAGTTTGTACCAATTTCTCATTGATTTCACCAAAATGTTAACTTAAATCAATTTACCCACAGCATAAACTCAACTACAGATGTTTGGCAGTAATAATAATTATTATACATCTGTCATGGTAATGCCATAAGTTACAGTGTGACGTAATTTTGCGATATTTTATGGAGTATTTTTATCCTACCATATTAGGAAATGCAAATTTCAAATATGGAATGATTACGCATGTAAGCGTCCTCTAATAATAAAAACAAACATGGCTGCCACCAGGGTTTGACCAGACTCTTCACAAAGAAGTTCACTGATTGTGTTCTAAACATTTTGACATTCCCATGATGTATCCTTGGAAGGAAAAGATGTATAATAATAAGGTTATTACGAGGATACTTCAAAGTTTGCACAAAGACAGTACACCGTCGCATCGACCTCTGCTGTGCGTCGGTCAATACTCCTGTTCTACTGTCTTCGTGCCTTGAGGTATCCTCGTAATAACGGCATATTATCGATGTCAGTCATCAGGACTATAATTACCAGACAACAAAATCACGATTTTCATTAGCATACGTAATTCACACACTTGTTAAAAAAATAGTTTTACAACTAGGAGTTTTCAAAGTATTCAGTACATGGCACTTACGTGGACCAAACATGGTCCTAAGTTCAGCTTTTTTCGTTTAGAGGCAAGCTACAATAGTGCCCTTGACTGGGGGTACTAGTTAAGATGGTTGGGTCATGTCAGAGCTCAGTCTTATCAGAGTTCAACCCAAAAGGTTTATTGAGCTGAAATGGAGTAATAATTCTGTACCCGTCATTGGTTTTCTCACCCAAAACTACAACCCATGCCATGTAGACAAACTTTCAATTTCTTCCAAGCAAATATCAGTTTTGATAAATTCATTTTTCCTACAAGTGGATGTTCATTGACTGCCCAGTCGAACTCGTTTCTGATTACAATACTGCTATGTCTCACTATTAGATTATTATCATTGTCAGACATAAGAACTCAAACATCAATATCCAGGCTGTAATATTTCCATTTCTCTCAGATGATTATACAAGGATTTTACTCGCCAAAAACATTCACACTTATTACTAGCTATCAACCCCCTAGCCAATAATGTGCGAGTCCCATCATTCTATGCATACATTGTAGTAATAGTTGTACATGTACAAGTGGCACTGATCAATACATTCCTCAGTAAACGAATCTGAAATTGAGAACTATTAATTTGTGCTCTGTGTGTTAGCCATTTTACAAACATGCTTTGACGACCATTTTGGTAAAAAATTCCGAGGCTAAAATGTGTCCAGAACCAGTTCTCAAAAATGGTTGATTTCTTTCAAATTTTCTATCCTGATCATGCATACATGTACATTTTTAACTTCATTTACTAATACTTTGTTTTTTTTTTGTTTTTTTCAGGTTTCACTTGTTCCAAGTGCAACCAAGTTTTCCCAAATGCAATGGCCCAAATAAGTCACGAAATGGGTCAATGTCATCATAATGGTCTTGGTAACCATAGTAACCTACATCCGCCACAATTACCACAGCCACAAAAAAATGTTAGCACTCCTGCAGTTGCGAATCACGAGTCTCCATTCCCAAGAAATGAAAATTTTACTGCAAACAGGTCCGATTCACTTAGTTCCTCCAGTTCTCCTGGTGACATATCACAACAAGGAAATCGGTCACCGTCACCAGGCGAGGTACATTCACACCGTCGCGGGCGCCCAAAAAACTCACCCATGGTACATACACCTCAGCCTGTGTTTACAGGGCATATGCCCGGTCAGGTTCCTCGCGAGTACAAATGCAAAATATGCCCTCATGTTTATTATACAAAGGCAGACATGCAAAGACATGCAAGGTCACATGTTGAGAATAAGCCATATAAATGCACACATTGCGATAAAACATTTGCAAATTCCTCTTACTTGTCACAGCATTCCAGAGTTCATACAGGGGAAAAGCCCTACGTTTGTGGACGGTGCGGTAAGTGCTTTAAGCAGTTGTCGCATTTGCAACAGCATACAAGGACTCACACTGGTGAGAAGCCATATCAGTGTAACATACCAGGTTGTGGGAAAGCGTTTACACAACTGGCTAACCTACAGCAACACTCGCGGAGACACAACAAAGACAAACCTTTCAAATGTCCACATTGTTACCGTGTATATGGCGATTTAACCAGCCTTCAGGCACACGTGCCATCGCATGCTAACTCCAGACACGAGAAAAAATATCCATGCGGGGTATGTGGTAAATCCTACACACAGGAGTCGTACTTAATGAAGCATATGCTGAAACATCCGACAGAGCCTCAGTTCGCAAGGGACTTTCCATGTGCAGTATGTGGTAAAAAGTTTTCGCAACAGGCTTACCTTGAAAGACATGTATTGAAACGACATTCAAATCAAGGAAGTAATAGTAGTACAAGTCAGGCACAGAGTACAAATTCAAATAATGATAATGATAACTCTAGTAAAGTGGTAAATTCAGGACTTTCCTCACCGCCAGCAAATGTACCATGTTCCATTCCAAACAGCTTAATTTCGTCAAGCATTGCAACTAGTTACGGGCTACCAAGCTCATCTAAGCATCCTATTCTAAACGTTCCCATGATGCCAACTGTGCAGGAAATGCGGTCAGCCTTAGGACTGATGCCAACAGCATCCGGACCAGCCACAGCTATTCCAGGAATCAGCAACCCTCCCCTACATGGACTAAATGATCCACGAGCTATGTTACCTGTTATGTTTCCGGGACACAACCCTGTAACAAGAGGCATTGACATGCCTTTGATGCGCATGCGATTTGGCGATATGAGTAGTACATTTACAACAAAATCACCGTTACATGTTGTTGATCGTAACGGTGTGACCACAGTCAGCACACCAACGACAAATAGCATTCCCGGAGCATCATCATTTCTTACTACCACGAGTTCAGCAATGCAAATTCCATTCACACAGTAAGTGTGTTGCACCCACTGTGTTACTCTTTTTAAATACATAACTGTGCGTCAGTGTTTGGTTTACTTTTAGTTAACATTCATGCTCTTCTTAACCAAGAGCAGAAAGCTTATATTAATATGCAAATTAGGATAATGAGATTCTCAAGATGTATCCTTTTTATCATTGACAGTTTTGTTATTGAACAGAATTCTGTTGAAAGAGTACTAGACCATTTTCTGTTCACTGTGATATCAAGCGTTGTGCATGAAATCAAACGTAAAAACACGACGAAAGGCTTTAGTATCATGGCATCAAAAAATTGTGTGGGATTTGAGTATTTTGAGGTATTTCAATGCTTAATAATAATACACATTGGATGTTGGTCAATTTTGATGAAGTGAGGCTATCTGAACACTATATTCCCCTGTGGAAGATTGGTATTTTGAGATTGACCTATAAGATGAAAAAAAAAGGAAATCCAAATTCGCAGTCAAATCATTCTGTTTTTGCATCAGACGTTCAGTTTGTGCCTTTCACAAAATATTATGAGATCTCGCAATAAATGGAAAATCACCTATTGCTATTTTAGGCTTGCAAATAAACTTAAAATTTCTCTGTTCATATCATGTGCTTTCCACAATGTTTCACCTTTTGAATACCAAAATCCAACTTCAGACACCATCCACATAAAATTTTGGATCAAAAACTAAAAGGACATTTTGTATGTTTGATTAAGAGCGAATTCAGTAAAAATTGTTATCCAAACTTAAGCATGAAAGAAAATTTGATGCTCAAAGGGTTAAGCTTCTGAATGCAAAAGTCAACTTTTGTCATCATTTATAACCGTAGAAAAATACCATATTTTGGCAGGAAACAATACAGTGTCAATAGATTGAAGATGCATTTGTACAGTGCTGATAAAAGAGTTATGTTTACATGGGGAAAAGTGGACGCATCAGTGGCTTGCTTGTGTATTTTGTTTGGACATATACTTGAATGTATAATTATTACAAGTGGAGTTTAGATTGAATACATTATACTCGTTTATCCGCCACATACTTCAGTTAGCTCAGTGATGTCACTGAGAAAGTTGCTGAACTAATGCGATTGTACTTAAAAGATACCGCAATAAATTTAGAAGTAGAAATTCAAGGATTTCTTTCTTGCTAAATAAATTTTCAACGCTGGTAGAATTATTTAGGTTTGGGTTATTTCTAAAATGTAATCTGATTGAAACAATTGTAGGTATCATGTTTGTAAATATTCAGTGTATCCATGCAGGACAGTGGACCCCAAGGTTCACTGTACACAGGATTGACTGCCTGGAAACAGGATATGAATCCTTGAAAAGTAATGAGTGTGTGAAAATGACATGGAATTCTGGGTAATTTATAATGCCATTTCATCTGTGATTATAGCTTAAATCAATAGCACGCTTTCAAATTTAGTTTTACAAGCATTGTATATGAACTATCAAGTATAAACCATTACTTTGCAAACTTTGCAACAAATACAAAAATTGGATATTGCCTATGTATGTATATAATATTGCAACAGAAATTTGCATCTTAACAAAACAACAAGTTGCACAGTGGGTGCACAGGTATTTTTCCAATAGCACAACAGTCTTGACAAGGGTGACTTCTATTATTTGGAGTTCCCAAACATTGTGTATAATATTTATATATGTGTATATATACCTAGCAAACAATATAAATAATGTAACAGACGTTATTTAAATGTTAAAAATAAAAAAAAAAACTTTTATGAATTATCAATTTCTTAAAAATCATTATTCATATTGTATTACATTATTGCGCTTGTGTAATTAATATCTGTACCTTGTAGTTAATATAGCTATGTGCTACCATGTGATATTGTGATGACGATTAATATTACACTCTGAAACGTGCAATCTCTTGAAGTGGCTTGTGTGACAACAAATTCTAGTTGGAAGAATCCCACTTTGTGTTTTGGGGAATCTGTTGTCATTACCCATAATGTAAATCGTCAAATCAAATTCCTTGATGTAAATGTAATTGGTGTATGTGAGGGTCTGTTTGTAAGAAACATGCTGATTGGTGGGAATTTGACATTCAACAAGTAGTACCTGCACAGAGGCCTCCGTCGGCATCATGTGACTGTCTAAACAATTTTGAAAGTTCAGAAATGAATTTTTGTTTTTTATATTATAACCTTTTTTATAATATACAAATTATTTTTAATTTATGCGCGTGCTTTTTAATTACGTAATGAATACTTATATGTCCACCCATCCCCATCCATGAATGGTATGCCCCTTACAGTTTGAGTAAACTGCATCATACAGTGATTGTAACGTCGCAAACATCAAGAGAATGATTAAAAATAAAACTGGTTTCGTCATTTACCGGTACTTAATTTTGCCCTGCTTTCACCCCTTTGAACATGTTGTACCTGTATTGGACACTTTACTCTATTCTTTGTCACTTCTAAACATTTTTCAGTTGTTAAGTTATGTTGTTGTACTACTTTAGCCAATGTTACTGTACTTAATTCTCAATTCAAGACACTCCATTTGTTAAGTATTGATGTTGTTTTGTCCACCATTTCTTTATTTCATTGTAACTTTAAAACATTTCTTAATTTTTAATGTTGTACCTTTATTGGCTGCTGTTTCTGTACTGCATTCTCTCTTGTTTTGTCATTTTCTTCTATGTTAATTGTTCTCTGTGGTGGTTTGGTGCAACAAACTGAAAGCACATCGTGCATTATTAGAAAATTGTGTTTTCTATTCAAAGCAAGCTTTTTTGAAAAGCTAATCGAGGTGTCTGTTACGAATGGGTTTGTCTGCACTAATACAGGGCACAAAAAAGGCAACTTTTCATTTTTTTCTTTTAATTTCAAACTTTTTTCTGTGCTTTCTGAAAATTTCAGATTTAGGAAAATGTTGCCACTGCAGTTGATTAAATTTTTTTTAATAATGAAATTGTTTTTAAGCAAGAGTGGATGCTCCAGCTCAAGAGGTCAATGCCCTCAGGTCAGTGTACATTGTTGCAGGATTGTTTCAGAGATTCATTACAAGCTTGTATTTAAAAAACTTGTAAAAGGAGTACATGCAACTACGATTGTTTAGACGTTGATGTTGCAGTGAAAGTAAACTTTTTGTTTTGTAAGATAGGAGATCTCTAAACTTCAATGTATACAATATTTTGTTTTTTTTCAACAAGTTTTTTTGTTTTTACAACCTCCAAAGTGGTTTATTTTGATATTATTAGATTGTCCTTGTTCCTAAAAAAATGGTTGCACATATTCGCATATCCAAGTACTTGCATGATCTCAAGGTTGTTTCACTTTCATAAAAATTATCTGCATTTTGTGTGTGTGTGTCCTGTATATGTTTCTGCTATTGAATCTGCACACTTTTTTCAAAATATCTGTAGAAATTGTCAATTTTATAGAAGATTAACTTTGGAAACAAATTGTGAAAAATATTTATTATTATTTTAGAGCAATGTATGTATACCAGGAGTAAAATAAAAATTAAATAGAAAAAACAAATGTGTGTTGAGGTTTATATAGAAAGTATACAAAGGGTAGTGGTAACTCCCCTCTCCCATGTGCTTATACTGTAAAACCATTTATTTTCACTGGCATTTAATTTCACTATCTTGATATTTTGAGGAATTTCACTTGGCATCGAAACATTGAGGTCTATTGTTACTCGTATTTATGTCTACATATTCATGTGGATTTAATTTAGCTGATTTTACTCATCTGCAACAAAAGCAAAATTAAAAACTGTGAATAAATAATGCATTTAGAGTATTGTTTAGCTGCTCATCAGGCTCGTATTGAATTTGCTTGCTTTTAATAAAGATATTAATTAGTCCCCGTTCGAACGTAGTCCAAAAACGGGGACTTGTAATTCGGTCTACGTCCGTGCATCCGTCCGTGCGGAGTCATATTTCAGAATCCTTTGGACCGATCCTGTTCATTCTTTGCATGTGCCTAGTACTTTATGTGGGACATATGCACATGCAGTGGTTAGCGATTCGATTTAAAATGGCCGACTGGCAGCCATCTTGTTTTTTGAAAATGTTGTATTTTGGACATGCTCAGTTTTATGTCAGTTTTCATTCAAATTTGGTACATAGATTATACATGTTAGGATACATGTCCTCCGACCGTCCGTGGTGTGGAAAGCTGTCGAATAAAATGGCGACAACCTTCAAACGCATTGTTATGCTAATTTGATTTTTGGCATGTCAGTTGACAAAGAAATCAAAGATTTCTTGAATTTTCTCGGCGATATACGTGAATTTGAGCAAACATGTTATCAGCAAGACTCTGAATGCGACAGTGACAGCCACTGAAACGTAATTGAAGGCAAATGAACACGTCAAGCAAAAAAGGCATTTTTGATGTCGAAATCGCGAAACTCTCCCTTTTTACGCAAACTGTGAAGTTTGAATTACGAAACGAAGTACAGGACGACGAAGACTAGATATCCAAGAACCAACAAATAACAATTATATCTCAAAAAGTGAATATTCGTGGTGTATTTTAAGTCTAACCAGACCAGGAGTTTGTTAGTACTTTAAATACTAGTATTCAAATATGATTTAATATAAGGTAGTACACATAAAGAATGTCACGTTTGTGGGGTAAATATGTTAGAGTTTAACCTGAATCGCGTCAGTATGTATCAATGAGACATTTACTACATGCACCACTAAGATGCAGAATTACCGATAAACAAGGATTTTTTCACTGATTTTACGTACGATGACTTTATACATAGTAATCACAATTAAATAGTGCACTAGTTCTATTCGGCTTTCGTCTGAGTGAGCATGCGTAGTTACCACCTGCTTATTACATCGTATGTAGCTCATCAGATGTCGCATTTTCTTTGACAAGAAAGCTATTAGATCAGATTCAAGGTTTTCGCTGTATTTTTTTAGATCTAGCGAGCGTGCAAGAATGGTCAACAATTGCCAGTAGCACCATCAATACAACCCACACCTCAACTATTACAA